AGAAATAGTTTTGATGTCTGAACTACTTATTTATTCTCTTAAAAATAAATGTTTGAAACCCATCATCGCTATTTTTGTGCAGTAGTGACTATTATGTCTCATGATCGATCGTTCGTGAGACATAGTAAATTTATTGAAAATATTATCTTGGTCGCGTGAATTGACTGAGAAAATATCTTCTAGTTTTAATTCACGACGGGATGAATAAGAGATTCATGACGGGCATGTCTGTCATCAGTCCCGTTGTGACTAAAAAGTAGAGTAGAGTTCAGTTAATTATTTATTTATTTATTTATTCTTCATTCAACATAAAATTACATAGGCGGACTTAATGCCATAGGCATTCTTACCAGTCAACCTTAGGGTGATGCAGAGAGAGCATGGTAGGTGCAACAAGAAAAAACTGCATTCAAATAAGTCGTTATTTTTTATAAAATGTACAATCCAAACTAATATTATAAAAGAGATTATAATATTCATTATAATATTATATATAATATTATAAGCGAAAGTAAGTCTGTCTGTCTTTTCTTCACGCCTAAACTACAGAACCGATTTCTGTGAAATTTGATACAGACATAGTTTGGAACTTGAGAAAGGACATAAGATATTTTTTATGCCAAAAATCAGCAGGAAGTCACTATTCCGCTAACGGAGTCGCTGGCAAAAGGTAGTATTAAAAATATATTACAACACAATATTTAACATTTAGTTTAATTTAATAATTTAATAACAGAAAGAAACTATCGTTGATTGAATTAATTTTAAGCTTAATTAAAATATTTCTCTTGCTACTAATACTATGCAAATGTCATAGTATGCACATAACAATTTAATATTTCAAAAAGATGTATTATTGAATTTGACTCGTTGTCATTTTCCCTATCTAAAAAGTATCTTTATCAAAGAGTATCACTTTACCAAAATCCTATAAAAAAGAAACAAACATTTTCATGTCGTTGAAGATGGTAGCAATAACTCTTTCAAATAAAAAGAAATGTTCTAAGAAAAGTGTCAACCAAACAAGAACAAGTAAGGATGATCCTATTATGCACAGTCCAATGACTATAAGAATGCTAATGTGCATATAATTATTTTAACACTAAACCCTAGAACAGTAAGGTTTCATGAAACCTGATTGCGTCAACTAAACTAGATTATTCTATTACGTATGGACATTGCTTACATACGGCATTGACCGTCTCGAACTAATCAAGCATTAATCCAAACACAGTTTTATTTTTATATAATCATGTAGCGAACAGAACTGTTTCGCGGTTGCGGGGCAAACGCGATAAGGCACCGCAGCTTCGGCCTAGAGCAGGAGAAGGAACGGGAGGGTTTTTAGTTAGTAAGAGTCTGACATTCCATCTCGCCATTTTTCCCCTCCTAACAAAAAGTTCAATGTTTCAATTTTTTCACTATTTAGTGGTCGTTTTTATACATATATCACTTCCTAGTTAATCAATCCAAACTTATATTATAAATGCGAAAGTAAATCTGTTTATCTGTCTTTTCTTCATTCCTAAAGTCGCTTTTTATAAATGTTGGTATAGACATGGTTTGGAACTTGACAAAGTATATAGGATAGTTTTTATACCAAAAATCTACAGGAAGTCACTATTCCATGCGAACAAAGTTGCGGGCAAAAACTAGTCTATCTATAAAAAAACCGCATCAAAATCCGTTGCGCAGCTTTAAAGATTTCAGCATACATATGGATATAGGGACAGAGAAAGCGACTCTATTTTATACTATGCAGTGATAGTAATGGCAAACGAGCTGATGGATCGCCTGATGGCAAGCAATCAGCGCTGCTCATGGACACCCACAACACCTAAGAAGGATTGGATTTGAGCATTGAGGAATTGGACCTCCAATTATCTATAAACATAACGCAAGCCTTGTTTCACGCCGGTGTCTTGTCAGGCCGGAGTATGACGCCAGTGAAGCCGGTTTTTATTGAATTCCATATTTTGTTTTTAATGTCGCAAAATTGATAATCGAATTGAAGTTCAAGGCTTATTCAGAAGCGAAGTAACGCGGCCCGATCATGCTTCGAGCAAAAGAAGGATTATAATCAGTCTGACTATCCTTCTCCTACTGATTATCCGAACTAAAAAAGGCATCTTCAGACATCTGAGACAGATAAGAGCTGGTCATTGAAGGTTAGACCTTTTAATGACCAGCTCTTATCTGTACGATAGCATTTGGAAAGTATCTAACATATACAAGAAACTCATCATAAAAATATTTATCTCTACTGACGTAAAAGTGAAACTGACCTTTGTAAAGAACAGTAAAGAGCACATTCTTGTTGTGAAAACTATTTAATAAAATAAAAATAGATAGCTTCAACCGTGGAAACAATTAAAAAGATAGATTTTTAACAAAGAATAACGTGTATTCCAATTAAATTGACTGAAATATAATTTATATAAACAAACCAATATAATGATTGCACAAAATTTAATTTACAATGAAAATGAAAATGTGAAGTGTAGGTAACACAGCAACAATATTAATAAGTATATATTTATACTGTTTTAATTACTAGTTACGCAATTACACGGATAATCTATTTAAGTGGATCGAATCATGAACATTTATGTCCACACTGTTTAGTAGGAAACATTTGTAAGCCATTCATCCTAGTGTCTGGCACTCGACAGACAGACGGCAATGTCATTGAAAATTATATAGACTTATACACAGATATATATAAGTATGTCTGAATAATCCGAACGCGATTCACCGCTCAAAAATGTCGGGACAAAAATATTGCGTAGAATTTGCTATCAACACGTACGTCAGAATCATTCAAAAGCTACGAAGTTACATCTGAATTGAATAAAGTCGAATGTCTAAATATCTGATGGGGAAATATCGTAAGAGGGAGATTACAAATATGAGGAAAAGGCAGATTAAGGGCTGGTAAACCTCTTAGGAATTAAATATTTGACGTTTTTATTTTCATATCTATAGTAAATAACTATATAATGTCCATGGTTTTATGATAAAAGTGACTCAAATATGTAATTATGAAATAGCCAACTAGCCCCTACGATCCGTCTCTCCGTGACTCGGTGGAACATCGGTCATACCGGGCACATTGGGCACATAATTGATTGGGGTCGAGACGACACAAGTGGTCCGGGAGGCAGTTTCGTAACTAGCTTTGTAGTAGCAAGCCCCGGGAGCAATTAGGCGGAAGGGGGAAATTGCATCTCTTGAGGATAGCTCACAAATTGCCCGAAACGTCAGCAACTCACCAACTGAAATGACAATTTTCCCCTGACTATTAGTTTTCCGGAATTCGCAAGTCGCCATTCCGGGGTGTGGGGGTACTGTCGGGGTATATGTGTTTACTTACGAACTTGTAACTTTAGGGAACTCAGCAGTGCTCTCACATGCATTTGTAGAATGAATAATGCCAACAGTTACAAATGAGTTTGGTAATGAACGTAAAATAACAGAATAGTTAATAATTGTTTGTTGTTTAATGATTTGTGAAGCACTAAACATGCTTGTTGTGCTGTGAATAAGGTGTCACGGGCGAACGAAATAATGTTTATTGGAAATTAGCACACTAGGTGTTAAACGGGTCATTGAATTAGTTGCGTATATTGCTCAATAGCTGACAATTTACTGACTTGGCTTAGCAAATATAGATACATGTAAATTTTTAGAAACGATGCAGACGAATTTGGTCTATACGGACAATAAGAACTTGAAGCAATTTGCGTTACGTTCAATAAGAAATATTAAGACAGCACTCAGCCAAAATATAAAACAAGAAATGTTGGAGATACCCGCAACATGGGGATGACGCGTGCCAAATACTCGCCACGGGGAGACTGGGCTGAGACACGTTTTTAACATACTATCCACTACTTAAATTCGTATACATTTTCGTACACTGTGATTCAGATATTATACGTAATATTAAGGAAATATGTATAATATCTTTTCAAGTAAAATCATATGCCAAAATTTTTGTACATTACAAAAAAAAACTACTAATAGCTAAGAACTCAATCTCACAAGGCGACCGACGCCTTGTTATCTATCTACAAGTTTGTCATCAAACACGTTATCATAATTTGGATCGTAAAATGGAGCGTCACATCCCAAAGAAATAATCATGAAAGAAAATCGACTGAAATGAAAATGAACGCCCCGAAAATATTACCTACATTTTCCCTGACGTCGCCATTTTAAAGATTTATTCTTCCGTTATTAACATTTTTGCGAAAAATGTATATTTTAGAAAATATCAAACGATCTAGAAGATATTTAAAAACTTGAGAACGTAATTAATGTAATATTTCAGTAACACACGGGTGGCTAATGTAATGTAGTATCTGAAAGTAGAGCTAACTTGTAATTAGTTATCTCAGGTAGGGTACAGTGGCGGTGCTCTCCCGGCACGTTCATTTATCACACGAACAAATGATGACAGTGCTCATGTTATCGAGAATGTACATTCTCAGTCCACTACGTACATTTAAATGTTCAGACATTTTATGTCAGATATTTCTAAAATATTTTGTTACTGAAAGATGTGTGCCGCGGTCGACATTTGGCAACAGGCCAGTGCTTTTGCTGTTTTCTCCCTCATGACATCTTCTAAGATAAAACGAAGCGCAGTCTTTGCGTCTCGAGAACTATTATAAAATTAATGACAATCACAATTATTCCCTTTTCCCTACAAATACAAAGAAAATTTAATTTCCACAACATTTTCTTTTTCTCGTAGCTTCACATTATATTTCGGCTGCCATTAGAGAGCTTACGCATGCCTGTTTCTATTTCGTTACAGCCTTAAGGAAGTCGTAGAAAATATTTAATATTTTTACTTACCCGAACAAATTTTCTACGGCATAACAAAAATGATTTTCAAAGTAACCGTTGCATGTTTAATTATAATTTAAGGCAATATACGCGACCCGAGAAGGCTCCTTCGCGGATTAGGATTCGACCGACAATAAAGCAAAAAACTACGAAGTGATGAATGAAAAATGTTCGAGTGTGATGTGTAACATGTGCAGCGTGCGGTGTGGTGCCGCGTCGCGTACCTTGTCACGAGTTCGCGAGCGCAGCGTTGCAGCGGTGCAGTGAGAGAGCGCAGGGCGACGCGAGCCGCCCGCCTGCCTCCGAGCGACTGGCGCCCGGGCCGACGCGCGCGCCCCGCCCGCGCCACGCGCGCGCCACGCACCGCCTGCACCGGCACACGCCGGCCGCGCGCTGCTCACTACCTCCCCGAGTCCGAGCCGCAGCGGGCTCACGCACCACGCGATTATCGATGTGTTCTGTGAGATGTGTCGCGCGGAGCGAGACCGCGGGGCGCGGCACGCACCGCGGGACGGGGGGGCGGTCCTGCGCGCTGCGTCACGCATCTGTCTCGACGCTTTCTTGCGTGCTCCCGCAGCCCGCCATCTGCAGAGACGTGCTCGCCGGGCTCGGGCCGCGCGCACCCCGCTCATTGCGACGGTGTTAATGCCCTCCGCGAATTCTTCGCATCACATCCGTAAAGCTCAATAGAGCCGCTATCTGATATTAGATGGTCATTGCGACCAAGTTCAAAATTTACTGATGTGGAAAACTGTTGCAATTTTCTGAAAACTGTTGTCTAAAAGTTTACTGAAAAAACGAGTGTAACTGTATTTAATTAATAAATATGTCACCTCGCCATTTGCATCCTAAAAACGAAGTTTAGTTAAGTTCTTTAAAAGTTGGCTTACACTTCCAATGCCAATATAGCTTTTCTAAAAAAATTATCCGAGAAAGACTTTCTTCCTTGATAAAGTTAATTTTCGTCCGGATCGATTGTTTCAGTAGTGACGTAGAATCAAAAAGCTCAGAAGGCGATTGTTGTGGCCAGCAATATCGCGAATATCAATCACAGCAAAACCATTTTGAAGAATGTGACGGCACACTTTTTATGCACTTTTTATGCAGCTAGTTAGCCTTTAAGTCAGGAAACTCTGCATAATAAAAGTATAAACCAAAAAAAATAGAAGTCAAGGGATTTACATTCCATATAAATTCAGACAAATTAGTTAATCTTAATGCTGATTACTTTTGTCTCTATCACACACAATTCGCTCACTGAAACGGTCCTTGAGTGACAAGTAATAGATTTCAAAACTAAATAAACAGAAATCCCAAAAAAAACAACAAAAAAAAAACTTCCATAGTTTTATGTACAGGTCGTCTGACAATCACGCTGCAAATATCAGTCACCGTATTGTCACGTCACTGCAACCTCGCCCGAGCGCACCCTCCTGTATGTTCATTGCACTCAACTTAGTGACAAAAAGTTGTGGTGGTGACACGGGCCTAATCCCATAGGCATTTTCACCAGTCGACCATTTGGTTTTGTAAACAGTAGGTATACCCATCACAGATCAATAACCTACAAGTTACTGCTGTTCAAAAGCCTCTTTTTTCACTGTAAAGGTACCTATGAGCATTAATCACTATACTTGTTCAAGGCGGATTGGCGATTAAACTTATAATTAGAAATTATAAGTTCAGGTTTCCTTACGATGTTTTCCCTTACCGTTTGTCAGTGGTGTCTAATTTATCATAGAAAGTACATGGTAATTTTGAAAAAGTCACATTGGTAGGTACTTGGCAGGTTTAGAACCCGCACCCTCATGCATTAGAGCGGGTGCCTTTTACTACGGGCCACCATTACACAGGAACAGTACAGTTAGTAGGAAATTTAAAAAGTTTACCGCATATTTCAAAAACTGATCTTAATATCAAACTCCTTCAAACTGAGTGTCAAAAGGTATGCAATGGAGGAGTAGTTAATGTATTAAACAGAAAATACAAAAAACTGGCATCATTTACCTAAAAGGAGGCCCCAATCACAATCTATTGTTTAAAATATTTGGTTCAGAAATAAAACATTTTGTATTTTGTAAAAAACATTTCGTCGCGCCAAGCAATACCTCAAACATACAACTACACCACCAAATGAGAAACTAACACTTTAATAATAAATCGAAATTACCTCAACAAATGTCAAAAAAATCATATCAAAAAGATTATCTATCGTTTCCACTTTAGCTTCCTCCGTGAAATATAAAAGGAAAATGTTTGAAAAGGAAAACTTTATTGATATTATAATGTTGCACTTCTCCATTCAACAGCTGATCTGATGAAAAATGTCTGTTGATAAAATTGCAGCTACGACCCCCTAACTCAGAGGTCGCTCCCTCTATGGGCAAGTAATTGAGTTAGTTTCGAAGAATTTCTAGTTAGCTAGATTACTATGTTACCTAGCCTGACGGAGGAAACATTCCACTAACACGAGCATTATTGCTGTAGGGACTAGCATTCACTCGTATTTTCAACTATTAAATTCCTTCTTCCGTATTCCACTTAGAGCGGAATAGGTCCTTTTTTTATAGAATCTTTTTGGATTTTTTGTCTTACTTTACTTGTTTTGGTTTGTTCTTTTTTTTATGGAATAGGTCGGCAAACGAGCAGACGTATTACCTGATTGTAAGTAATTAGCGCCGCCCGTGGACACCCGCAATGGAGGACTAACGAGTGCGTTGCCGACCTATACTATATATATACCTATACTAGGGATTACGGTTTTGGAGATTTATTTTATTTATTTATTTATTAAGCTTTATGCACACAAATTTCTGTACATAGGCGGACTTAATGCCGTAGGCATTATCTACCAGTCTGACCTTTGGGTGATGCAGAGATGAGTAAAAACGGTGAGCGCAAGCAGCAAAATTTTTAAGTATAGACTAAAACAAAGACTCAATATAATAATGTATGAATTTAAACAAATTTAATAGCAATATAATCTTACATAAACTAATAATACATACAAATTATGTATAAATAAATATAGAAACACTAATATAAATAAATAGATACTACATACTTATATATATATATTATTATATATATAAATATACTTATATTTACTTATTGTGATGATTCAGCCAATTTCTTCAATAAATGCTCACGAACTTTCTGCTTGAAAGTCAAACGACCTAACACCATCCTGACATCCAGGGGGAGCGCATTCCACAGGAAGATAGCTTGAACGAAGAAGGAAGAATGAAAGAAATCAGTGCGATGAGTAGGACATTGAAGAAGTCGGTTATGAGAAGAACGCAAATTTTTATTGTGGTTTGCGCATATGTACTGAAAGTAAGAATTAAAAGATTTAGGGATTAGGAGCGATCGGGGGAGGGGAAGGATTGGGCCTCCGGTAACCTCATTCACACGACGAAACACAATTTTAATGTTACTCACACTCACACTCACAATGTTAATTTCGTTAAGAAAGTTTCGAAATACAGAAAATAAATTATAATAATAACTTTTACTTGAATGGTGGATGTATAGTAATATGCCAATGGATGGGCGAGTTGTTGTTCGACTTGAAAGATTAAGGGACAGGCTTTTGTTCAGCAGTGCACGTCTTCCGGCTGAGGGTAATGACTCTTTCGAATTAATAAATCATTAAAAATTTGAAACGAATTTTCTTTTTGATTTGAATGAGTTGGTTTTATTCATACAAGAAGGAACACCGCCTCGAAACAACTATAGAAACAAAAATAAAAAAATTACAACGTCATACTTAAATTATCTTAAAAATATAAAACCCAAGTTTCTGAAAGACAAAATCCTTGCTGAAGGGACAAAATGTATTCTTCCGGAAACTTAGGCAATGTATTTTAGAACCCACGATGGCGCAACGATATTGCAATACTATGGCCGTAAATTTTAAAATTATTTATTTATTTGTGTGAATATGTAACTATAGAAAAGTATAATGTAAAAAGTATTTAAGAGGTTTTCATGCAACAGTACTTACATTTCACTTCCAAATTGTATACAATAACGGAACCTATCAAATACTTGTGAAATTAGATGAGCCTTACAAACTATTATTTCCGTGTATCATATACATATAATTATTACGCATAGGTACATATTATGTAATAAAACAATAAAATTGATCTTTAACATTCATATGGTCGACTGGCTATTCCATGGCTATCCATTATTATCGACCTTTTTTATTGTGCGCCCTCAGAAATTTTGAGTTACATAAATAAAAAGTCAGAAAATATGACTCAAAAAAAGTCTGAACACTAGACTAGTTTAAAATATTTAACTGTCTCTAGAATTAGCATGCAGCTGGCAGCCTCGCGATATGTTGTTCCTGCTATTTGTCTCACATCACATCACACATCATCAGCCTATAATTGCCAACCTCTTTGACATGAGAAGATTTGAGCATTAATCACCGCGCTTGCTCAAAGCGGATTGGCAACTTCAAACTAATCTTCTTTATATATAAAAATGGATCGCAAGATGTGTTGGTAAGGGCATAACTCAACAACGCCTGGATCAATTTTGCTTATTCTTTTTTTGTTGTGTTTGTTATTGTCCGGAGAAGGTTCTTATCAAAAACAATATTAGAAAAGTAGAGGGGAAGAGACAAGGAAGATGTGACATTTTAATAGCGCATAGTTGGACACGTGCAAAGCGGGGGCGGGCCGCTAGTACAAGTTATAAATATATGTATCTTAATTGTTATTATTGTGCCATATCTCTGTAACATACAAAATGACCTTTAAAATCGTAAACCGTGGCAAAAATCGTAAATCTTCAAATCCTCAATCCACATTCAATCATGATGTGCAAACATAGGGAACAATAGCTCAATCAGCCAAATTCTCAACCTATGTATGGCGTTCGAAACCTATGTAAATTGTTTGACTACCGACCGATTTGCCAATACAAGATTCAGGTAGTATGTTGTTAAGATTATGTGGGTCGAATTTTAAATTTATTTGTCGCATTTTCTTCTCGCTTTGGACTAGGACTAGGTTAAATTTTCATATGAAATGTGAAAGTAAATGATGCTAATTTTTACAATTCTAAACATTTCGTAATTTCCAGATTGGGAGCCTATTTAACAATATCTAGAAAGTTTTCTATTAGTACTTTTTATGAACTAAATTTGTCTGGTGCTTAAATAAAGATGTTAAAAGAAGACAAAGATCATAAATGATTAAAATATCAATACCTTTTCTTTTTATCTTTTCAGACATAGCTCAAACAACTGAATAGCTAAATGTCTACGACAGATTGCTGTGCTTAGCAGGATACAGATTCAAAAAATATATCTGTACAAAACATAGAGACATGTCATCATAACTATAGTTATGTACATTCACACACTTTGCTTTCATCGCAGATCACCGAACAAAACGAGATAAGATGGGACATCAAACAAGTTGAGTATCATTATAGTTTCAAAACTAACAACAGCCACTAGCGAGTCTCGCGCAACTTATCAGAGATAAGTTAGCTGTTCCGTAGACATGAGTCCAAATGAAAATATTAAAGGAGGCAAACACAAGCGTTACGGGAAACTTAACATATATTTCTCACTTTGTGACAGGAGACAAAGGATTAGAATTAGAAAATTTCACATTGCGATCAGATAAAATACGAGCTTAAGGTAAGGAATAATAGTTTTCGCCACCTACGCCCGCGCTTGTAAAGCTTTCTTTTTCTTCTCCAGCGATTGAGGTGTAGCGGGCAAAGGCGGGCCTTTATATCGCAGTGTTAGATGCACCACTCTCTCAGCCTCTCGCACGCCACTCAGTCGAGCGCCAGACACGGTAGCGTAGTGACCAGGGACAGTCGCTTCTCCAGCAAACAACAGCACTGGAGGTATAGGTTCACTCGGGCCCGGCAGTGGGCACGCCAAAGCTCGCTGTGCTTGCCCATCAGATCCGTAACAATCATAAGAATATGCTCCATAGAAAAATGGATCTGAAGTCCAATGTGATCTTAGAATTGTAACGGGATATGGTAAGCTAGGGTTCCCAGTTGACAAACGCAATATTTCGGTCAAGCCTTCTGCTATATCCTTATCGCAAAGAGCTTCCATCATCATAGCTTCATTCCCAACCACCCAAGCGCACATCACGTGTTTACTGTTTGGCACCACCTCTATCGAAGTTATGCCTCGTGTCCAGTCGCAACGATCACATAATTCATTACTGTTGAATTTAAAATTTAGATTACCTTTATGCCAAAACCAAAAAGGACGACAATACTCCATGTAAATTTTATTGCAATAGCCAAAGCCAAGACATCGCATGGCGTCAATTTTTGATGCTGGCAGCGCAGGGCAGAACATTTTGACAGCGTTAGCACTCAACACCCCGAGAGACACTGTTATTATAACGTAGTCACATGGATATTCGTCCCCATCCGTTGTGCATACGGTGGCTCGGTAACCTTCCTTTTGTGACGTTCCCCAGTAAATACAGTTGACTGGCTTGCAATAACGAATAGCTCCTTCTGGTATTTGTCGCAACAGCGGAGCGAGTATACCGACTAAGCCCAGCGGTACACGTACTTCGCCGCCGGGCATGTTCATGAAGCACCCGATATGATCGGCGCACAACATCGCCGTGTCATCCCCACACCGCGCACTGAGCATGTGCGAGAGCCCGAACATTATTCTAGCTGCGTCATGTTGTTGATCTTCCGGGTACTCGTGCAGTTCTTGTTGAATCCGTAGACTCATAAAATTGATTAGTGAGCCCGCCTGTTTACTACCACCGAGGCAGTATATTTGAGCAGCTTCCTGTTCGATCTGACGAAATTTGTGGTATGCAGATATCGTAGGAGGAAACGGCATTTTGCCGGTAACTATTCTGTTGAAGAGGCCACGAGTGTGTTCAGCGCCGGGCACTCCAGGTCGGGGTGGATCTTCGGTGGCTGACATTGTATAGATGGGATGTGTGAAAGCGTTGTCTGGCTTCCAGTGCGATCCCAGTTCAGCCACAATGTCTCCGAGCCAACACGAGTGAATTCGACCTCCAGGTCTAGAATAAAAAGAAATAAGTTTTATTTATTATCGGCGGCACTTACTCACAAACCAAGGAAACGATAACCTTTTTATTTTGATACGAACCTTTCGTACGCTTCCAGCACCACAATGTTGTTGATTCCGCGTTGCGCGAGACGAGCCGCGGCTGACAGGCCGGCCATGCCCGCACCTATAATAACGACGCGAGGCTCTGCGTAGCATTTGTTTACATCACATGGGTCAATTGCACATAAAGCCCTGTCTTCTAAGTTGGGTCCACAATCGTTAATGGCAGCTGGGCTTTCGATCGACGACTTCCTATAAAATATTTCAGAGAAGATAAGCTATTAAAATATTTCAAAGTATTTAAGCCTGTGTTTTAAATCTGTAGCAATTAGTATGCCGTACAGACTGCTTAGCCTTACTTTTCATCCCTTCTAGTTCAGTGTACAAGTTGTGCGAATACATTCATACAAACAAGTCGCTTAAATAAGACAATGCTATAGGTACAACGCTCAGTTTTGTCGCAGTTCTATGGAAATCTATGCAAAGTAAACGTAGTTTCCTGCAGTCAGTCATTTCTGCTTAGGTATGAATATGTATTTTCTGCTAGCTTTTTAAGGCATGACTCACTATGCAACAGCAAACATTCATTAAATTTATCCACCAAGAAGTACATATATTTTACTTTAATATGATGTATTTTCCTTTCATCCACTGTTATAAGTAGCCAGCTTAAGTATCCATAAAAACCACCGTTTATAAACTCCATGCTGATTAACAAACTAAATAATAAAAATATCTATAACAATTACATTAATAAAGTTAAGGTGTCCTTAGTAATATCTTCAAAATTGACAAGAAATCCCTTAATAAGAATACTTGTAAAATGTTATTGTAAGAATATACCATCGTAACGCAGCAATCGACCTCTGCAGCTGTAATCTTCTCACTGATAAATTACTAAGAATTTTCATTGTGTAAAGTTCAAAAGGAATTTAAGGACAAGTTACATACCGAATAAAATTAAAAATATTGATGAATTTGAAGTTCTAAAGTGACAGAAATCGGTCAGTCATGTTTCTGACATAGATTAATTATTATAGTATTTTGATGAACTTTATAAAAAGTCTGAATTAAAGTTTCTTTATATTAAAAATATGCAGACTTTTTAAGTGCGGTTTTGTGTTCTAGAAGATATATTTATGTGCAAATATTATTCGACATCATTAGTTCAGGTGTCAATCTATTCCCTCCCCTATCTCCAATCCCTAAATCTCCGAAATCCTAATCACCAAAACTCATTTGGGTGTCCAAAGGTGGTGCCGACTACTTACCACAAGGTAATCTGTCTGTTGCTGCTCACATGTAATAAAGATATATTCTTTACCATTCTTCAATCGGGAGAGAAAGACGACTTAAAGTCATGAATTAAGAATATCCATTACTACTTGATATATTTATTAAAACCGTTCTTTGAAATTAAGTGCATTCTAGCATGTACCATAGTTGACTTTTAACTAAAGTCCCAGGAACAATAAAAACCTTAGTACAAACGTTGACCACAGAATATAAATCTTACGACATGTGTTAAATAACGCATCCTTTTTACGTAAGACCGAGCGAAATAGTTAATATTTTATTTGGCAGGGCAACGGGAACGAACTGGCGCCGCACTGATTTTTCTACATTGTTTTTGTGGCGTTCTAATTGCTAGACTTCACAGACTTTGCTAGCTGTACACTGAGTAATTGTTCCCATCATACTTACCTATATCTATATAAAGCAAGTTTTCTTAACATTTTCCAACAATTCGCAGAATAAAGGACCAGTCTACCTCCACCACCGGAAAGTTTACTTTAAATAAATATTAATGCTTTGCACTGCACCGTATTGTTTTGCTGTAGTAGGTAAAAGAAACGAAATGAAACGACAATTTTTTCTTAAGCGTATCTTTCTTCATAAATAAAAATATAGTTTCATTTTACTTATTATTATAGAATTCGAGCGTCACTTTTATTACAATAAAATCGCGATATTTCTTCGAGTAAAGAGATCACTATTCTGTATTAAGAGAATGTAGTCCATGAGCTATGCAGTTCACAACACTGAGTGGCATCCTTATAGTCTAGGAGTCACGTTCACTGTCACTCGAAACATTTAGTCCAGAAGTGATCCAACATGTGGTAGAAATGTCGGCTGACGCCCAGTAGAGAGTGCTTCTCGTCCGCGTAACTCTGGGAATTAAAGTAATAGTATTATTAATGGAAGTAACTATTTATTTTAGTTCTATTGCGGTATTTCAAAACTATGTCACATCACACATCACATCATTAGCCCATAAGTGCCCACTGCTGAGCAAAGGCCCCTTCTCACACAGATAAGGTTTAAGCATTAATTTCTACAAAGAGAAACAGTAATATAAAAGAAGTAAGGGCGTTACAATAACGAAAAGTCTGCTTTAGCAATCTTTGTTAGCCTCTGTCAGGAATTAAGTTTTCAATAATTTGACGCTGGTTCAGGCTAAAACTATATTCCTTATTATAAAACAAGGTTTTTCTTTAGTCTAGGTCATTTTTTATGTGATAGGTCGGCAAACGAGCAGACTGATTACCTGATGGTAAGCAATCAGTGCCGCTCATGGACACAGTGCGTTGCCGACCTTTTAGGGATTAGGTATTTGAATATTTAGGGATTGGGGAGGAATTGGGAAAAGGGAAGGCATGGGCCTCCGGTAACCTCATTCACGCGGCGAAACACAACGCTGTGGTCGTCTCACGCTGGTTTTCTGTGAGGTCTAAACCATGGTGCTGGTTTTTGTATTTCAAATTGAAGGTAGGTGAGAATAATATTCAAAATTCTAAACTTGACTCAATAGTTTAAACCTAGTTTAAAGATAAGTCTTGTTTTGTAATACTCATGTAGGGGGTATTAGTAAAAATTTTTACTAGGACACTAGATAAAGGCTTTACATTACGTTCTTCAAGTAAGTAAAAAGACGGAAGCCTCCATTTATATTCTTACCATCTGTTGGAAATCAATATCACTATGCTGCAGCTGCTTGGCAAGCAACATACTATGTTGGAAATGCACGTTGTCATCGTCCGTGCCGTGCACCAGCAAGTACTTGCGCCCGCGCAACTTCTCCGCCTGACGGATGACGTCAGAGCGCTCGTAACCTAACGGGTTCGCTTGCGGCGTGTCCATGTAACGTTCTGTGTACATTGTATCTGGAAATGATAATTTAAATAATTGCCTATACTTAATTGTATTTTAGAAAAAAACCTTGCCCTACTATAGGACTTTCTCCTGTGTCGTGGATGCGTTTATAAACATAAATTTTGTAGATCATACAAAGAGTTGTTCCGTGCAGGAATCAAACAACATAGATTATTAGGTCAGAATTTTTTGGTCATAGAAAAACCATGCAGGTCCTTCAAAACATTACCATATTATATCAACTTTACCATGTACTTAAATGTATAAGGCAGTACATGTAATTAGGTCCCTCTGGGAGTAAGTTATGCTCTCCAGATTGCTATGTGGAATATCTATGATATATATTGCAGTCTTACTGCATAAACACAAATAAACTGGACAACCAAGAAGTAACTTTAGCAGGTTGTAGACAATGCAGACTGTGGCTCAACGAAAAACACAGACTTCCAATTAAATCTTGTTTAGTCTATGTACATAATATGGCTTCCCCAACCTAGTTGTGCAAAAGCTGCGAGAAAGATTGATGTGGTTTATCGTTTTTATCTTTGAAGAAAGCTTCGATAATAAAGTATGCAAAAGCATATTTTGCCAGTCTTTTTAATCCTTAGTGAATTTTACCAAATTAGTGAGACATAAAAAGTCTATTTCCACATTTACTTGTATGAACGCCCACGTGAATCTTAAAACTGTTTTATTGTAAACATGTTCCCATAATAGGATTTCATTCTATGTCGAGGGTCCGTTTACAAACATACACGTTGCGCGGTAACCCTTGCCCAGCTACCACACCAACCACCGTTCAGTTTTGAAAATAGCTGAGATACATTAGCAAAACGGCTTCATGAGTAGCCCATAACAACATTAACATATCTGATATTACTTTAAACTCGCTTTGTATCAAAATATGTTGCTTCAAAAAACATATTGGGCATATTCCGATCAATCTAAATGCATACCTATAATTACCAGGCATCTGAAGACTCCTGTAATAATAATTAAAATTCCTCACCATAATACAGCCAGGAAGTGACGGGCGCCACGGCAGCGCCACAGCGGAGCGTGTTGTGTTCATCTTGTATGAGCATCATGGTGGACACGAAGCCGCCGTAACTCCATCCCCACACTCCCACGCGATCAGGGTCAATGAATGAGTACACGCTTATCAGGCTCCTGGAAATTTAGAATTATTTTGTTAAATTGTTGCTCTCTTGCTGTCCAGAAATGCGGAGCCAAAAAGAGAACTTGGCTGATAAATGTGAAACCACGACCTTAAAAAATGGCTTGCAAAGCGGGAAGATAATTTCAAATGACTTATTTTTATGGTATAGTTTGGCAAACGAGCAGACGGTTTACCTAATGGTAAGCAATCGGCGCCATTAATCGACACTCCTATTACCATAAGAGGGATTAGAGATTGATTTGGGGACTTAGGATGCGAGAGAAGAATCGGACCTCAGGTAACTTCACTGACACAGCGAGATATATAACGTGAATGTTGTTTCAGACCGGTATGCTGTGAGGCCGTGGTATCACTTCGATCGAACTGGCTCATTCGCACTGAAGCATGGCTCTTCGAAGCTTAAAACTTGTTTTACCTATGAGCTTAGAGCATTAAACCAACCCTATGTGCCTAGAAGATACTCAATCTTTGAGAAGATTTTGCACAAAACCTCCAAATTAAGACTTTAAACTGAGCAATCGAAACAAAATTCTAATTCCCTAACATTCATAACTTAGTTAGCATTTCAATCACAAACATAATCTAACATAACCCTTTGTTCAGAACTTCATCAAAAAAGCGAAGAGAATCAAATGGAATTGGTATTTACAGCACAAACAGTCCGAGGGATTGAGTTAAACGATGCTGTCACACAGTGTTTCATATGCGAGCCAGTTACGCAAATTCATTTAACACCACGGTCAGAGAGAGCGTAGCCTTTTTAAGCGATCCGATAAACTGTTTAGGTATTCAGAGCGAAATATGAATGTTTCTATTCTGTATTTTGGGTATATTGTATTTTGTAACAATGGCCATTTTATGGTCATAAAAGTGTTAGGCACTATAGAGTCGTAAAATAGTTTTTCTTGCCTTTCTTGATTTCTGCACTTAAGACATAGGTTGATGGTCACATTTTAGGTTAAAGTTAATCAAAGATAGTTATGGGGTGGTGTTATTGTATGTTGTACCCTTAGTATATGTCGTGGTGGCCCGGAGGTTAAGAAGCCCGCTTCTCATGCATGAGAGTGTGGGTTCGAAACCTGGCAAGTACCAATGTGACTTTTTCGAGTTATATGTACTTTCTATGATTATTTAGACACCACTGACATACGGTGAAGATAAACATCGTGAGGAAACTTGGACTTATAATGTCTAATTATAAGTTTGAAATCGCCAACCCGCATTGAGAAAGCGTGGTGATTAATGCTCAAACCTTCTCCGTGTGAGAAGAGGCCTTTGCTCGGCAGTGGGCACGTATAGGCTGATGATGATGATGTACCCTTAGTTGGTTCTTAAAGAGCAGTAAAGTTTTGACAGCACAGTTGACGCCGGCTGTCATGCAACGTGCCGCGAGTTCGATTCTCGCACGGAACTACTTTTTTTATTCACAAATTGTTTCCGTGTTTGAGTGTGATGTGTAAGGAAAGAATCCTATAATTGGACAACGTTTAAGAAAAACTTAACGATAGAATTGATTGGATATTGGTCAAGATTTTACAACTTATATTGAGGCAAAAACCAAGAATTTACCTGATGGTAGCCAAAGTGTCTGTGACTTCAACAGTTCCGAGAGCGTTGTTGACAGCGTGCATGGCTTCCACGCCCATAGCTCCCGACCCTCGCACGTCGATAGAAGCCACTATGAAACTTCTATTCGTCGATAAGTACGTATTGTAGTATTCTGAAATTATAGACAAAATACTTTTAAAGTTGAAAAACTAGACGAGCTCTGAAAACTGCGTTGCAAGAAATCGCCTTGGGTGATAAGACTGCCTATTATAATAACAACAATCTTTTATTCTATCAAACATATTTCATGTATATGTGCAATAAAGTATGTACAAATTAATAAATAAATACTAGTTAACATAATACAATAACCTTTGTATTTTACTTTAAATTACAGCCTGTTGCAACATTTTTCAATATTCCACAAACATTACAAATAGAACAAC